GTTATGTTTGTTGAGTCGTTGGGTGGACTCACTCTTCAAAGATAATTTAGTTTAACATTTAATTCAAGCAATGAATAAAACCTATTGATATACACACAGTATATTTGTACGAGTATTTCATTTAACAGATACTCTATTTCAGTCTTAATAACGACTTGTTTTTGTTTTATAACTCATGTATAATATATTTTATAATATATTTTGATTCAAATAAAGGTTTTGACCATTTTATTGACTATACTTATGAATATCAAGAGTCATTAATTAATTAACATTTTATAGTATAATAGTTTATCTTAAATTTTGACTAATGTTTTGTTGTAATCTTATTTGAACACAAAGTTTATTATATTTTTTGTCGACTTTCTTTCATCTTTGGATTTTGTTTTCAAAAGAGCTTAGAGTTGTGTTCATTCATTCATTTTGTTTTCAAATAATAGTTTTTTTTATTTAATATAAATTAATGATTGAAAACAATTGTGATATTTTGGACCATTAAATACATTGAAGTAATGAATGATAAAAGTTATACAAAAGAAGAAGCGATCGCTTCAGTCAACAGCCATTTCAAAGACGATTCCAATGGAGACTCGGATATTAATGATATGATTATTAACACAAATATGAATCAATTTGAACAAAGCGACCAAATGTGAGGCCCTTTTGATTTTATATCTTTCTCTAATTGATAGCAAATCTTTTTATTTAATAAACTATTGATATGTATTATATAATGTGGTAAAAGTAAACTACAATTTATAAACATAATAAAAATTTCCATTCAAACCCTCGATTAAACCAAAACGTGATTTATTTATGAATTTGTGTTTAAATATTTGACGATAAAATAGCTGTACTGAAGATAACGCGAGAGAACCCGATAGTGATTCGCTGAAGATGTTTGTCGGACAGATCCCAAGGGAATGGACTGAGAATGAGTGCCGAACTCTATTGGAACCGTTTGGAGACATTTATGCAATTAATTTGCTCAGAGATAAGAGAACCGCTAAAAGCAAAGGTATATATACTTTAGATATTGGATACAAACTTATTAGAGACTCTATCATAAGATTTAATTCTTTAAAATTCTTGATTCTTTAACTCAATTTTGAATAAAAAAAATGTGAGTCAAACAACACATGCTTTTATTTAATACGACTTTCACTCACCGCTAAAACTAGTTCAGCGATTAATAAAAGACACTATAAGAGTGGCGTATGTTATAAACCCTAACTAATGTTGTGTTTGTTGATTAGTTTAGAAAAAATTTTTAAGACGAGTAATTAAGTTTTAATCATTTTAAGAACAGTTATATTTATAAGAAGTGCTATAAAAGTGTCGACAATAACTTTCATGTCATTAAAGGTTATGCCTCTGAAAGTTGTAATAAAAGAAAGCAAAGACTTGTTGCCATTTGTGGCTATACTGTACTGTAGTTTAGATTATTTGAAGCAATGGATCGATTGATGTTTGACTCCATCTCTTTGTCGACTCAAAAATGTCTCTGAAGTGCAATGAATGGTATTGAACGCCGGTTTCATCCAAAAAACTCTATTCGAGTTTCTAAACAACATTGTTATGAATTATAGATGAAGTGACGGCACATCCAAACAACCAGTGCCTGCAATCACATTATTCATTGTGACACTAAACTCGATGGCCATTCCTGTGCCTCGCTCTTTAAACTCTCTCTCTCTCTCTCTCTCTCTCTCTCTCTCTCTCTGCATGCGAATCGTTGTCCTTTAATTATGTCATATCGTATCCACTGATAGCGAGAGAGAGAGAGAGAGAGAGAGAGAGAGAGAGAGA